AAGGATTAACTTAGATGTATCTAAATAGTAAAACATTTGGTAGAAAAAATAGTTTAAAATTAATAAATACACCAAAAATAATAACAAATGTACTGAATTTTTAATATTTTGAAATATTTTTGGTATTTAAGTGTATTTTTTAAGAGAATTTTTTCAACAAATAGTTATACTTTTAAGCTGTTATTTATGTTAGGTGTGTCTACAAATTAAAAAAAATTTCTTAAAATATTAAAAAAAATTCATTGAAAACATTAAAATACGAAAAATAAAAAAATGAAATTTTCTGAAAATCAAAACCAAACAAACTAAAAAGAAAGATCAGTGTAAATGTTATTCCGTCAGACATTAAATGTTATTATCACATTTAGATTGAAATGTATTTTATATGGTTTATTTTTGTATTTTTACATTATTTATATTAATTTTATTTCATTTAGTCTTACTTAAAAAGAAAGATCAGTGTAATTTTGAAAAAATTGTAGGACTTATTGCATTTTTTTTAAATTAAAAAAAAGTCAATATAATTTATTATATATATATATATATATTTCATTTTCATTATTTCTTTTGATGGGAAGAGGGTTCAATTGACTCCTCCGAGAGAATATTGAACCATTTCGACTTTCTCAATGTGATAGACCCGACCCGACGATATGTTGACATGTTTGATTGCAATCTGCTACACTGACTTCCATGATTTTGCATGAACCACCAGACTGAGTTACGCGTGTAACGGTGGCTTCAGATTTTTTATTTCAAAACAAAAGATGCTCCGTCAGATATTATGGCATCTATGGATCTTGGTTTCAGAGTAATGGATTGCGGATTAAATTTAAACCAATTTATAAAAAGGTACCGACTATCAAGATATTCAATGAATCCCATTAAACACCGTTATAGTACAAAATCTTCACAAAAAGAGCGTGGTCCCAGATTCGAACTTGACTCACTCTTATAAAAATGCAATGCTTTGAAATTGTTGAGTTTTGAAGCAATGTCTTGGAAAGATATAAGCCCATAGGGCATTTATTTTGTTGATTACTAACTGGTATTACATGTTATAGATTCATGATGAGCATTTATGAATGTATATTGCATGTGTTATATTTTGTAATACGAACGTTGATGAATGAAAGCATATCAATTCTATCATACTCACTTCTCTTATAATTTGGATTAGTTGTATTTATTTTGGGGGCATTACAGAATTTGAACTCGTTAAAATCTTAATAAACAAGCCTAAACATACTAAAACTCGACTTATTAGTTCAACTTGTTAGCTGGCTCGTTTAATATTTATTATTTATATATTAAATAATGTAAAAATATGTATAAAAAATAAGATAAATATGCTAGCTATATATTGAAAAAATATAAATGTAATTAATAGTTAACTATAAATAGTACATTTATATAATAGTGATAGTAGATTTATTATTTTTGTAAAATATGTTCTTTTTTTTAGTATGTATATATATATATATATATATATTGTATATATAATTGTATAATCAAAATTTTAATTGGAACTTTTGTATTACATGCAAGTATGAATTTATAAATTTTTTGGCTCGTTAAGGCTCGTGAACAGGCTCGAGCACGAGTCGAGCCTAAGCCAACTCGGCTCGAGCTCGGTTCGTTAAATTTTTGTTCAGCTCGAGCTCGTTAAAATCTTAATAAATAAGTTCAAACACACTAAAACTCGACTCGACTCGGCTCATTTGCAGCCTTAGTCCCCATAACCATATGCATTAATTTTCAAAGTCTTGTGGAATTCTCCCACCCCATAACCATATGCATTAATTTCCAAAGTCGTGTGGAATTCTCCCACGTTGAAAAATTCTTATGTATTGATTGATTTTCTGATTTTTTTTTCTTTTTTTTTTTTCCGAGAGAAAGGAGAAGAGCCTAATTGTTAGATTTTTAATAGAATAATTGGGGGTGTTCCTAGATTGGTTTTTAACGGTTTGGTTTTCAGTTTGAATCCGTCCACATGTTGTAGTTTTCAAAATATTATACCCGCAATCGCCCACAGTGCGGGTTACACATTGTGCAGATAGGGTTTGCAAATATGCAAGCAGTTGCGGGCGGTTTACGGATTGAACTTTTTCCTTTAGAAATTTATTTTTGGATCTATTTTTTCCCCATTTTCTAAATATTTATTTTGTGCATTTTCTCCTTATTTTCTAAGTATTATTTTAGGGCCTAAAATCACATATTTTTTTTTTATCATAAAATCATTATTTTTGAATCTTTTTTTATTCATAATATTTTAACAGTGTGGTTTGCGATTTGTGTGGATAGGGTTCACGAATGTGGGGCGGTTGTGGGCGGCTTGCGGATTGAACTTTTTCCTTTAGAAATTTATTTTTGGATCTATTTTTTCCCCATTTTCTAAATATTTATTTTGTGCATTTTCTCCTTATTTTCTAAATATTATTTTAGGGCCTAAAATCACATATTTTTTTTTATCATAAAATCATTATTTTTGAATCTTTTTTTATTCATAATATTTTAATCTTAGAGATTCCGAAATTGATAATCCATACTTTAAAAAAAAAAAAAACAGTTCCACTTATTTATATAAATAAAAGAAGTTCAATTTACTAAAAAAATATATTATATATTATGTATGTGTATATATACACAGCAATTGTAAGTATATAATATATATATCTATTAATATGGAAGGTTAAGATTATCCAGAATTTTATGAAAAAAAAAAATGTAAGTGCGGGTGCGGGTGAAATTCACGACCCGTCCGCAACCCGAAACATGAAAATATTTCAAACCGTATCCAATCCTATTGCATGTTCAAAATCGCCTGCACATGCGTAGATCGGATCGGATTAAAATGTTTTCGTGGGTCGAATGAGCCCATACTTAGCCCTAAGAATAATCATTATTTTTTTTTACTGAACGCATATTTGGACAAAATGATTATTCCATTTCAAATTTCATTCTAGTGCTGCTAAAATGTACCAAATTCATTTGAAAAACAAAACACAAACTTTTTATATGACTTGTTTATCTCGTGTGAGAAGATTGTGTTTAATTATATAATTCAATAAGGTAAAAATGAAACTGCTGAAAGGTATATGGGCAGGGCCGGCTCAACCACATGTGTGGCCTAAAGCAAAAAATTGAAGTCAGATTGTTTTCGTTTTGTTTTCTTCTTTCTTAGGCCAAGAACACGTTGAAATAGATTTTTATTAGAGATGAAAGAATACAAGTTTGATGAAAGGATATTGAATTTTTTTTTATCAAATTTAAATTTAATGCAAGATTGGAGATGCTCTAATCCAATTTATTTATTATTTCATATTATCATGTCGTATTCATATGTCTTGTCAATAAATTTTATTCTTAGTTAAAAATGTCAAGTGTATGAAAAAATTAAAATTTTTCCCTCAAGTTAAATTTAGTGAATTTAATATTTACTGAATGAAATTATTAATAAGAATATTTGATTCCAACTAAATTTTTATTTTCATAATTTATGAGTGTGAGAAAGTGGGAGATAGACTTTTACTGGTACACAAATGATATGAATCTATATTAAATCACTAATTTTCTACCAATTACACATATGAATGTGGTCTTACATGGGCTGCAAAGGGGGAATGGAATTGTTTATCTTGAAGGTGACTATCAAGTGCGGAATGTCTCATAATTTAGGCAGATTAGTAGCTTTCTCTGTTTTTATTCCTTTTGCTTCTACAAACCACATGGGCTCTGGCCACTGTAATTATTCTAGAGAAATTAAAAATCAGTCTTATTTTTTCAAAATAATAATTATAGAATCATGAAAAAAAATTCTGACTTTAAATTAGTGTTATGAGAAGTTTATAAAATTTATCATTAATCTGATTTTTTTTTACCCCTAAAAATCTATTGATTTGCTATTTCTTCATTTTTAATTTTTCCATTAATAGGCATTTTTACTTGTGTCTAAAAGTATATCATTGGATAATGGTTATATGTAGTATTTTTCATTAATATTCGCATTCTATCGTGAATTGTCAATGAATTCGCAAGTTTGCAGATTGGAGCGTGGTTGTCGTCTAACCCCTTACTTTTTCAAAAGGTGTCAAAATTTTAAATTGCCTTGCATGGCTTTTGATCTGTGTTTATCGCGGTTCAGTTGCATCTTAATAACAATCTTTTACTGCAAAATATTGAATCTCTTAAAAATGAATGTCACAGAAACAGGGGATGATATTGTAACTGATGATGAATTTGATTTTGTATCACTCAAACAATCACATCACATGATGGACCAATTTTGTGAGTTTGAATCATAAACTGGTTAGTAGTAGTAGTAGGAAGTATAATAAGGATGTGGATTGTAGCCTTGAATGTATGGAGCCAAAGCTAACTGGGTTGGTGTGTCTTCTTTCTTTTCCTCTGCTTTGGGCTTCACTGCCTCCACACTTTCTATGCTGGCATGTTTGCTCACCTTCCTCCTTATTGACTTGGTCAACTTAACTGAATCAATATCTCCAATTACCTCTATACTATCCCCTTTTATTGCCACTGAGGTCACACCTATGTAAGAGAATCAATCAATAACTAATTCATTAATTGAAAAAGCTATAAAATGTCTTGATCATTTAATTATGTCTCAAGATTTTTATTTCTTGAGACTTTCGTACGATCCTACATGACTGTAAAGTGATTGATAGAAACTATACCAAACATGCACTATTTACACAAAATAAATAAATAAATTGAAATAGAGTGTTAATATGATGCATATATATATATATACCTTCTGCGACACAAGCAATCTGCATGGCTTTTGATCTATTTTTATCGCTACTCAGTTGCATCTTAATAACAATTTTTTGCTGCAAAAAAATATTAAATCACAAACATGCATGTCACGTCAGTACTCAAGCTATATATATATATATATATAATTAAGCCTTGTTTGTCATCTACAATATAATCCATCTTTTTATCTTTTTATCTTTTTTCCATCACATCACCTCTCTACTTTTCTGCACATCTTTTCGTAAAAAGACAAAAAGTACACTTTTTTAGTACACCCCAAACCAACCCTTAGTAATGGTAATGTTGTATATAGGAAAAAATCCAGCCTACCTTCGTCATGATATCGATTTAGAATTTCTCTTGTAATTTATTTTGTAGGATTGTTTCTTTTCTTTTCTTTTCTTTGAAGCTCTGTTTGGTTTTAAGAAAGAAGTTAATTGGTATGTTTATATAGGAGAGTTTGGGGGACATGAAACACGAGGTTTCCTATAACATTCGAGGGGACGCGGTTAAGTACAGGACTAATTAATAGTAAGAAAGAAAATTCAACATCTTGACTTACTAAGTCCCAGTCGTCAGTATTGTCAAAGGGACCCCCCCAGTCCAAAGACCACGTCAATGTCAACTCGTCATTCTTCCATACACGAGGTGGTTGAACGGAGGAATTAGTATTTTATGTAACTAGTGGGTGTTGTGGTCCAGTTGATAAATATGGTCAAGTACTTGCATTTTGTATCATGAATAAAGTGACTTTTTAAGTTTCACATTCATTATTTTGACAAATAATATAAAAAAAAAATTCAATATTTTTCTAAACCCACTAACCAACCTCAATTTAGAAAAACCTTAATGCTGGGTTTAGTTGGGAAATTTAAAAAAGATTTTGAAATAAAATATAATTACATTTCACTTAATTTCATACATGTTATTTATTTTTCTTTTCAAATTCCCTTCTAAATTTCCCAACCAAACACGACATAAAGGTTTGATCTAGTGGATGAGGATTGAGACTTGGAGGTTTGGTTCCTTCAAGATATGAGGTTCAATTCTCTTAGTTAGCAAATTTTTGAGAACACGGATTGTAGAGAATAATAGAATGCTTGTTCGGATTGTAAGACTTAGTTTAGTGTGTGCAAACTATTCATTTTGATCATTCAAATTATTAAAAATTATGTTTTATTTTGATCATTCAAATCGATCAATGTATAAAATCGATTGAGTATATCATTCTTATTAAAAACATACGGTGATTCGACATTAATTATTACTAACGATAAGTATAATTCTAGTGTCACATTGTTAGAATGTTACTATTTATGTATAGATTTCATATAAATTATTAAAAATTACGTTTTTATTTTGATCATTCAAACCGATCAATGTTTAAAATTGATTGAGTATATCATTTTTATTAAAAATATACGTTGATTGCGACATTAATTATTACTAAGGATAAGCGTAATTCTAGTGTCAAATGGTTAAATTGCTACAATTTGTGTATAGATTTCATATAACTTTAAAGACTATTAAAAGTGAAAAGTATTAATCAAACTACCAGACTCACAGCATTGTTTGGTAACAGATTTGAAACTATTTTTTCAGACATTCTAAAGCCACTTTTCGGTCATTATTTACAATTTTTTAGATTTCAGACATTCTAAAGCGACTTTTCGGTCATTATTTACAATTTTTAAGATTGACATAGTTGTTTAAAGCACTTACTACAAAAACAGAGTAGTTAAAAGACTTTTCCAGTACAAGAAAAGGCAAGGGGAAGCCCATTCCAGGCTTCCTGTATTCATATTAGGCAACTGGGTCGGGGACACTTTCGTCTGGCAGTGACTAAAAAAAAAATGTTAAGGGGAAGGTTTTTTTTAGTAATTTTTTAATATTTTGGTTAAAATATAATATAAAAAAAACTAATATGTTTGGTATGATTTTTTAATTTTTTTTCTAAAAGATGTGTAAAAAGTAAAGAGAAAATGGAATTTTTAACATTTTGGTAAAAGTTATTGACTTTTTGATTTTTTAGTGACTTTTTGACTTTTTAGCTGAAAAGGCACTTGCCAAACAAGGCATAAGTTTATTGATCTAAAAAGTTTATCTTATTTAAGAGATCTTAATTCGGTTAGAAAAATTGTTTTCATCAAGAATCTTTTCTTAATCAGTCTAAAAAACTATTAGAAAAATTAAAAAGTTAAGAATTTGTCAAACAGAGTTCACATTAATTTTGTGTTTGGATTAGCCAAAAATAAATTAATTAAAAGCTAAATAATTTTATCTCTTTTGACTGAGCTAAGAATTTAAAAAATAAATATATATTACAATTTTATTTTTATGTACTTATCTAAAAAAAATGAATGTATTAGTAATTTTATTTTTCGCTTTCATTTTTAGCTCACTTGAAAACCAGACAATTAAGATTGGTTTGATAATTGTTTTAAAATAATTTTATTTGTTTATTTATTTTTTAATTTTAACTAATCCTACTTTTTTAAAAATCCGCCAAATATATATATATATATATATATATTTTCTTCATAAATGTGATTTCTTTAGCCTCTACCAAATGAAGAATGTATACACTGTAAATAATTAATATACATGTAACCATAATAATAAAGCGGAATTGAACCTTACAGGATTTTGAATTCAATACAACTCAAGAATAAAACGAACATACCTTTGATAACCATTGAATTAGAGAAGGTGAGAAAATACTCCTAATAATTGAACCTTGAATTCTTGGCTCACCTTCTTTTCTTTGTCTCTCTTAATTAGGATGTGGAAAAATACTCATATTATGTAAGGGGAGTCACTCATCCTTATATAGAGCAGAGAAGAGGGCTAAATAAACTCTATTAGAAGAATTCTTGTTCATCAAGATTTTTTTCTTATCTTAAAAGAGTAATTATCCCATATTTAAAATTCTAATTACTGAACTTTATATCAAATATTGGTTTTATCTAATTGTGGAATCCAAATAAAGTAAAACATGTAAAAGATATGTAGGCTATTGGGTCATACCAAAAAATAAATTTAACATTTTCCCACTTGGCCCATTAAGCCGATTATGATGCAACTATGAGTTTTTTATTTTTATATTTATTTTATTTTTATTTTTATTTTTTATCAAAATATGCAGTTTATAAATTTTTTTGACTCATTGGATTCCACACTAAAAACTTTGACATGTGATCACAAAATTTTAAAAATAGCCAATAAATTCAAATATATTAAAGACTATAATATTGTGATTACTTCAGATTACCAATGTGAGTTATAGCGGTTATATAACATTTATGTCATGTTTCTTTATATGCATTACACTATCGATAACTTCACTAACTCAGTCCATTATCGAGATATGTAATTATTTGCTTGAAAGGCCTCTGTAATTTGTCTTTGTTAAGACATTTCTTGTTTATCAATATTCAAATTAATGTGTACACACAATTTTAGAAACAAGAAAAATAGAAATAAAATTATTATTGTACAAATAGTGTCAAAATAAAAATAAGCACTCAAGATTATCCATACACATCATGGGTTGCTTAAAAGACTCATCCTGATAACATGCTCTTTGTATGTCTTTGGTGGCAATCCCTTTATGAATGGATCAGCAATCATAAGAGATGTGCTTAAGTTTTCAATTCACATTTGTTGTTTCTGGACTCTTTCTCCAACGACTAAGTACTTTACTTCTATGTGTTTGAAACCACAGGTGTACTTTTCATTCTTAGAGAAGAAAACTGCTGCGGTATTATCACAATATATCTTCAGTGGCCTAGCAATTGACTCAATAACACCAAGTCTTGAGATAAAGTTTTGCAACCATAAAACATGATTTGTAGCCTCAAAGTATGCCACAAATTCAGCCTCTATAGTAAATGAAGTAATAGTGGACTGCTTCACACTCTTCCATGAAATTGCTCCACTAGCTAGTAGAAAAACAAAATCTGATGTAGATTTTATACTATCAAGGCAACCAACAAAATCTGAGTCTGAATATCCAGTTACTTCCAACTGTTCTGATCTCCTATAGGTGAGTATATAGTCCTTTGTTCCCTGAAGATATCTCATAACCTTTTTCACTGCTTTCTAATGTTCCATTCTAGGATTACTTTAGAATCTTCCCAACATTCCAACTGTACAACTAATATCTGGTCTGGTACATGTATGGGCATACATCAAGCTCCCTACTGCTGACGCATATGGAATGTCCATTTATTTTCTTTCCAAGTCATTCTTTGGAAACTATTTTTCGCTTAATTTATCACCCTTCATGATGGGTGCATTACCGACTGAACAAAACTGCATATTGAATCTCTTTAAAATACGATCAATATATCTTTTTGGGGATAGTCCTAGCAATCCTCGAGATTGATCCCTAAAGATCTCTATGCCAATAACATAGTTTGCCTCATCCATATTGACCATCTTAAAGTTCTTGGAGAGATATTCCTTGATTTCATGCAATAAGCTAGGTCATTACTAGCTAACAAAATGTCATCCACATATAGCACCAAAATAATGAGCTTGCTCCCACTAACCTTCAGATATATGCATTGATCAACTGTATTTTCCTTAAATCCGAATGAGGTAATGGTATCATTAAACCTTAAATACCATTGCCTGGAAGCTTGTTTAAGGCCGTATATGGATTTCTTTAATTTGCAAGCTAACTGTTATTTACTTTTCTTTGCAAATCCTTCTGGCTCCTCCATATAAATTTCTCCATCCAAATTCCCATTTAGAAAAGCAGTTTTCATATCCATTCGATGCAACTCTAAGTCATAATGAGCTACCAATGCTAGGATGATTTTAAACGAGTCCTTCTTAGATATTGGAGAGAAGGTCTCTTTATAGTCTATGCCTTCTTTTTGAGTAAAACCCTTGGCAAATCGTTCGATATTGCCTTTTACGTCGCGTTTGGTCTTGAAGACCCATTTACACCCGACCTTTTTACAATTATTAGGCAATTAGACAAGATCCCAAACACCATTCTGTTCCATGGATTTTAACTCTTCATTTATAGCATTGACCCATTTAGTAGAATTGTCATTATTTATGGCTTGTGAAAATGAGACAGATCTTTGTTAATCTCAATATCGAAATCAGATTCTTGTAGATACACCATGTAATCATCTAGAATAGAAGACTTTCTTTCCCTCTGAGATCTTCTTAGAGCTGTCGGTTGTGGTAGTTCTACAATATTTTCAATAGTGGTATCTTCATGAAGTGGTGAAACATGAGGTGGTGAATGATTTTCATTATGTTGTTTGTTTCCCTCAAGTTGTGGAATAGTCTGAGGAATAACAATTTTTCGATAAGGGTCAAATGTTGGCACATCCACCTTAATTTCCTCAAAATTCACCACTCATGTTTTCTCACTCCCACTAATTTCACCATTCTTTAGGTATCTAGCAATACTAGTCTCCACTATCCTCGTACTGTGATTAGGAAAATTAAATT